TCAGTGCATTTCTAGAGTAAAATCATTAACACCTTTGGTTCAGACTTTCACTGCACAACACCCAGAGCGATTGCTATAACATGCTATAAACACATTAGTTATCGTTACTATTTACACTATTTACATTGTCCAGACTGTTGCTCTCATTTTTGTTGCCATATTCACGACGTTTCGACCGGCCTTCTTCATGTGATTGGAATTTCGAACCAAACCCTTTATTTCGTCTATCAAGATAGATTGTTCTAGTTCCACGACATCTCAGTCTCAGTTATCTCCCTTCTTTAGCTCAACTCTTCAAGTTTTTTCTCACCTCTGCTGTAGTCAGATATTGAACTCACAACACTTTGGATCAAGTCACTCGATTCAACGAGGGCTTTTATCCACTGGGACATATGTCCTTGAGGTCATCAGTGTCTGAATAAAAGGTAGATAACTGGTAATGAGACACATGGAAGAGGCATGGCACGTGAAACTAGAACAATTTATCCCGGTGGACGAAATAAAGGGTTCGTTCGAAATTCTACTCACCTGAAGAAGGCCGGAGCTTATAACGGTTGAAACGTCGAGAATATGGTAAAAATATGGGGACAACAGTCCAAACAATGTAATTAGTGTAAATAATTACAATACCTTATCTCAGAAATATAGACAGATATTGAAGTTTTCCTTAGTTTTTTAATGCAAAATACATGATTTTTTTTTATTGAAAAGTTAATAAAGTTGTAGAATATAATAATTGTATTATATTTTGTTAACATCATCGATAAAAAGTGAATTTGAATGGAATTTTTCAAAAGACGGTGACAATTATTTACACTGTAATTACAAAACATTCACATATTTTTGTCGCGACTATCATCCTTAGTGTATGTTGGCCTCTTACGTTTACATCAACTCTGCAGTACACAAAGAGGCTAGTTTGGTTGAGCAACAGTAGAGCCTCATAACGTAATAACTGGCCATTATGAGTTGAAATCCTCTCGAAAAAACATTAAAAAATGAAAATAAGACATCTAAGTCACATGGGTGATTGAACGAAATTAAAACTTTATGTTGTACATTTATTGTAAGTTAACAAATATGATAGAAATCAGATGAAGTTTGTGATAAAATGCCAGAAAGAAGAATAATTTAGTCTAATTGAACTATTCGATCATCCCAAAGATGGTGATGTTAATATTAAAGAATTATTGAACAATAATAATAATAATAATAAAAAAGAGGAAGATGCTAGTCCCAAAGAATTGATGAACAAAGATGAAGATTTTATATCTCCGACTAGCTATATTAAACTTTCTTAAGCCAATTCGTATAAACATTGATACAGGACATAGCAAGTTCCTCCGACAGAATATTCGAAATCGAGGCTCCAATATCTTTGATTAAATGAAGCCTGTCTATCTGGAAGATAACTTTCCGATATAAAAGCCATATTGTGAATGTATAAATTCCAGGTTCGTAAATCTACATTATAGAGATCTAAAGCCTTCTTGAATCAACGATTCAATAGTTGATTAATTCATGACATGGATCCATGCACAAATCATGTTCAAGAAATTGTTTTTGGTTAAGCACTTTGGCCAAAACGTGATAGAGATCTTACATAAGGTATTTCTACACTAACGTAACAGCAGGTCCACTTACGGTTTTGAATTTTAGAGTTATTCTTCTCCTATATTGTCAGGCATAGTCTGTTATTTAACCCATAGCTAGAAGAAGAAAAGATAAATTCATATCTTTTCCAAGGGTATTTGCGCGTAAGTGAATGTAAAAATGTCGCTCGGAATTCGAACTCGTCTGTTCAATTTCTCATCCCGTTATGCTTGCATATAAATTTTTACAACCCTACTATCGGAGTACGACTGAAGTGTAGGCTAGTGAAACCAATAATTTTCAAACGATTGGGGTTTACCTACGGACCCTCGCGATGCTTCAGGAAACGGAACAACTGTCCCGAATTGATATAAGGGCGGCGATTAACTTCAGAAAGGTGTGATACATATGACCAGCTGAGCTATCTCACGTTATCTCACGTTAGTGCGCAATCTGTCAGATGGAGATTATTTTCTGAGTCTATCTTTATCTTGTCTGGGTTTTATCCTATTGTTTCAGCCACGGACCATTTGAATCTTCCACAATTGTGTGCCGTGGGCGATAACTACACGTTTCTGGAAGCCTTTATTTCCTCTATATCCGAATATATTTTGCGTTTATACTTTTTCTTAAGTCAAATTTATTCCAAGCAAGACATTAAAACCACTAAGATACAAAGGGTTACTGGGTGTGAAAGAATGAGAAAACAGAAACATTATTAACGAGTAAGGACCATAGAAGAATAAACAAGAAGACAGTAGATAGCAATTGACATTGCATTTAAGTTTTTGACGATTAAATTTGGCCGGAAAGCATGGAGCCGGAAGGGAGTTCCGCCAGCGAGATGTGCGAGAAAAGAAACTGTTAACATAGAGCTTACGGTTACATTTAGCCAGCCTAACTGCAAATGTTGCCAATCTAGCACTGCACTTAAATTCATAAAGTCTAGGTACCATAGTGAAGAGCTCATCCGAACAATTACCATGAAAGTATTTATACTTTTCTATAAAAGAGAAGAAACCTAACGGCGGCGGGAAGGTGACTGAAAACGAGACGCTATGTCAGGACTAATAATATTGCTGATGCTTCTTTGGATTTTATCAAAAATCTTTAAATATATAGCGGGAGTATCAAATCGTGTGGAATCAATATTCTAAGCATGGGCGAATGGTAGACTTATAGATTTGTCACATTGATCCTGGAGAGAAAAATTGTCTAACACTACACAGTGAATCAACTTTCTTAGCAGTTGAGCTAGCAATGGATTCAATGTTTTCAATTCATGTCAGCCGAGAATGTTAATCCAAGGAGGTGCTGGAATTTAGCATCAGTCAGGCTGATGGAAGTCAGAATGGGGTCTTTCAGATAATTAATACAGAGCAGTTTTGTTTTGAGGTGTTAAAATTAAACTAGCCATACTTTACCCCAGTTAACAATAGACTGAAGATCGTTTTTTAGATCAATTTGACCATAACGGAATGATCTGACTTCGTATCGAGACAGGAATAAATAAGGTTGTGTCACCAGCATAGATATCAAGTTGATAGTTGATGTCATCAAGAAGGTCGTTAAAGAAAATTAAAAAAACAAAACAAAGTCGGATAAAGGATAGAGCCCTGGGGAAACACCGGCATTAATACAGAAAGATGTAGAAGAGTGGCCGTTCAAGATAACTTTCATTTCACAATTTGATAGGAAAGTCTGAATTAATTAAAATGTTCGTTCGAAGAAATCATAACTTTTCATCCTGTGAAGAAATCCGGTATACCAATCCTCGTCGAATGCTCAAATACTTCATTTTTTTTTACTTGGTGTCCTTCTCAGAATTTCATACTTCGTAATTGTCTTCTTTCCCTTTGTCTTACCACTTGTTCTTGACTGAACCCGGACTTGAACATACAAGAAACAAGGACAACACTTTTACACACGATAAGACGTTCAATCTTTGATGCTTAAAGCATGTTGTTTTTCTCTTGATTAAAAACCTGAATGTATTTATTACCGTAACCGTTTATTGCAGACATGTATCAGGAGTAAGTGCTTATCGTAAGCAGAAGGAGAACATTTAGGTAATACTCTAATAACAGGGACGAAAAAGATATTTCCTTCGCAAAGGAAAAAATTCTGAGGCATTTTTTTGTCCGCTACCAAATGAGCTGCTTCTACAGCACGTATGTTGAAAGACACAAGAGTATTATGTTAGTCTAAAATGAAAGCAATAACCATTTGATGAATTTAATTTAATGTGTTCATTTACAGATCTGAACATTTTTTACGTTTTATATTTAATAATTAACCTTTATAATTTTAGTCAGATTAAGTACTAGACAGGCGATATATATCTAGTTTATCAGTACCAAATATTTTGAGATGAGTCATTATATTTCCAAGCGAAATATATCGAAGAATTAATTGGCCGAAACTTCATAATGGCAAGAAAAATGATTGAAATTAATAGTCTGAACTACTCTTTAAATTTGTAAATAGGAAAATCATTTAAAAAGAAGAGAACCCTGAAAAGAGGAATAACTCTAGAAACGAGATTTACAAACCCCAAAATCTTACGATCATAGAAAACAAACTCACTTACCCCAACCTGCCCCCAAAGTAATAAAAGTCCGGGTTACTTAGTGAAAATAGTTACACAGGCGTATCGAAGCCTGGATATTAAGAAAACAATGACTCTTTTGCCTTCGATGACGTTGTGAGACCGGATTGGTGGCGGCCTTCTCTCAAAAACCTCCGCCCACTCGAATTTAGTGTCAGACAGTGTAAATACCTCGCCCTTCTCGGCACGGGCATATCGAAGTCTCGGTTATTGAACCGTCAAAGTCATTGGTGATAACCATCAGGCTTTCTACGGCTCCTTTTGTAATCGTAGGAATTTTTTTATCGTTTCTACATCAGAAAGACTGGATTCTTTATTTCAATTACGTTTCAGTCATTGAGCTTTGAGAAAATACTAATGGATTTTTTCTTTGTGGCCTTTCTGTTTGTTTGTTTTTTTCTTCTTTATTTTTCTTTCATTTTAAAAAAGAGAAAGAGAAATTCTTTGGACCATGTCTTGATGTTATCAGAGTCTCAGACAATAAACGTCCAGAAATGAGAGGGTCGGGGTATGTGTGATCTTGAAACCAGAAATTAATTACCACATTGATAAAATCACGAACGTGAGAACAAAAACGAATGGGTGGGCAACGTGTATTGGACATAAGGACCGGAACATGAAGCGGCGAAGAAGAAGAAGAAGAAGAAGAAGAAGAAGAAGAAGAAGAAGAAGAAGAAGAAGAAGGGGGTGCGGATGACTTTAGAAAGGGAGTACACAACATTTCGGCGGGAAAAAAAAACTGAAAAATTATTTTTAAAACATGAACTCCAAACAACATCGTCAATTCGACCACGGGCTTTACGGCCTTATCATGTTGAAACACCAGTTCTCGTACGATCACCGAAGTTAAACAACGTCAAGCCTGGTCATTACCTAGATGGGGGACCGCATAGGAATACCAACTGCTGCATGCTTGAATGTGCGGGTGGTGCAATAGATAACGGCTCTGAATTAGAACTAGGCTATCTGATTTCCAATTCCAGTCGTTATATTCACTTACACGCAAATACCCTTAGTAGAGGTATTAATTCACATCTTCGCCCCCCCAACTATGGATTAAATAGTAAGACGTGCATCAGTAAATGGTTATTATCTACAAAGAATTCTGACAATCTAATAATTTTTTCTGGCTGTAAATAACCTGCAAAAAATTGATTAGCCATTAAAAACAAATCAATCAATCAATTAGATCAATATGACAGTAAAGATATAATCTCAAACTGCAGCAACAGACATAATAGGATTATTTCCTTGCCCTGTCAATTGTGTTGCACTTAGAAAATAGCAAAAGCTTATGTTGCTCTACATTTTATGTTCAATATTTACTGAATAAAGATAAAATTAAGTAACAACTGATCCTCCGCCTTGACTCTTTACAATAAATGAAGACATTTGTCATAAATAGAACTAATTTTTAATCTATATATAGAACCATACATTACTTTTAGGAAAAAAAAATCATGCCTGTACAGTCAATTACAATTTAAAGTTTCATTTAATTCAATAGAATTTGTAATATCTCTTGTCTTCTTTTCCATCTTTAAGACGCTTGTATATGTCAACTGGCACATATAACAGCAGACAGACTCTAAAATAAGAGTTATGCAGATTAATAATAATAATAATACTAAAGGCTAAATAAAGTCACTAATTACCTGTTGCACGACTGCTCTTTGTTCGATTAAAAACGGTGACAACAATATTTTGCACATGCAAAGGACAGGTTTAAGGAAATAGAATTATGGCGATAATTAATATTTTTATTTTTACATCACCTTGACATTTAGAGATCCTTGTTAAAATCCAAAGAAGAATCAATAATATTATTGGCCAGGATCGAACATCTTGGCTTCAGTCACCGCCCTAAGCTTGCGTTCGTGTTACCTTTTCTATAAATATTTTCGCTGTAATTGTTCGGATGGGATCTTCGCTATGGGACGAGACTTTATGAATTTAAGTGCCGCACTAGACTGGTGAGGAGATACCATCAATTCACAGTTGAGTTGGCTAGATGTAACCGTAAATTATATTTTTTGTACACAGTAACCGTCTGCGTATTAGTGGCTTGGAGAAAAATGATTAAAATTGAAAACTGAGAAAAAAGAAGAGAAAATATATCACTATGGATGTAAAACAAAGGAACACTTTAAATTTTGAAACTATGTGATTGATACACATTTGTCGTGTGTGTTTGTGAAGTTTCAGTCACTAAGGGAAATATATCTCTATGCTCGGGAACAAGGCCCCGTTGGAGTTGCTTCTGCTGCATGCTAGAAAGAAAAAGATAGAGAAGTGAAAGAAGAGGAAAATAGAAAGTTTCCCGCCTTTACACCTAACGACTTCCTAGTAAAACTGGTAAAGCTATGTGAGGATAACTCGTTAACCAATCGAAAAATCATGCTGGTTTCTTGACGTTAAGCAAAGCGGTGTCCATAAAAAGCGAAAGAAATGATTACAAATCTGATTCCTGTATTCGTTATTTGGATTCAATAAACTGATGTACCTATTAACCAGAAACCTGGTCATTTGTAATCTACTTTTTTTTTTGTTTTTATTAACGATTGTGAAGACGTTTGATCAAGTCGGTTTGTTTGTGCGAGTTTGTTGGAAATGAATGCGCATGCGCGCGTGTGTTGGTCTTAATTCGAATTAACTGTCTCGAATGTTTGCAGATCTTCAAATGGGAAAAATAAGTTTTAATGCATATTTAAATATGAGATTAATCTTTTTCGCTCAGATGTTATTTCTATGGAACTGAACAAAATACCAGTACTGCCTATGGAAACTCCCCGTGTGGTAAAAACGCATAAAATCGTTGGAATTTCCAATTAATAGACGCAGCTGAGCTGGTAGAGTGCACCATGCAGGGCAATGAACATCTTACTCTGAATTTTAATCCTTGCTGTAATTCTTTATCTTATCTTTTTTGCCTTCTCGTTTTCTTTTGAATTTATTCATTAATCCATCGATTTATTTTCGCGTCCTGTCCTTTATCATAATCTTTCATTTTCTTACTTCCTTCATTTGATGACAAAATTGTTTAAAAGTACATGAATCTCAATGGATGAGGGCTAAAACAATGGATGGATTTAAGTTCCCTACAGAGTAACCTAAGGCGAAAGTAGGGAGGTGTTCAGGGAGAATAAAACAATTTTAAAAAGGGATAAAACTGCGTTCTTGGTTTGTGCTTTTTTCAAAAATGGTTAAAAAAATAACTATACGAAGTTGATTTTTGAACAGACTAGTAGCGTCTTTCTGGATGATCATAGCTCTCCAAACTTCCTATCCTTTGTAGATCAAAGCAATGTTTCTCAATTTATTATCCATTGTGTCATTCATTTCGTTGACGGATGCTAACATTGTACCTGCCAAAAAATGGCGGAATTATTTTGAGTTCGATATTTCCGCCTGAGATGAGAATATCTATGAACTCTGCCGAGGATCAAAGTATTGCTGGCCGACAAGCTTACCGAGGAGCAGAATGTTGCAACTTTCCGCTTCATAAATTATGTTACACACACACAAACACACACGCACACGCATCCACGCGCGGGTGCACACACACAAATAATGCACGCACAAATATGCGCAAATACAATATATATATCATAAAATATAATCCAAGCTATGTTATGCTTACGTGGTAAAAGTGATCAATATCTAGGATATAACTTATAAGCAGTGTAGACATAGAGATCAACACCGACAGCAGTCTTCAGGTATGAATATTTGGTGTTACTCTCTATGTGCACACTGCTCTCTATCACACACACGCGCATACACATATACACATACACACACAATACATATATGTGTGTGTATGTATATATATATATATATATATATATATATATATATATATAAATATATAAAATATAGAAGTGGACATTGCGGTCAAAATCCAGCGCCGACAGTCTGTTTCAGTCTTAAATGTAATCCTCAGGCCCGCGTTTTAGAATGAAAGAGATTGTCACCGCTGGGTGTTGTCCACTTTTATATTTTATATTCACGTATGTTCTATCCCTGTTATCAAGCATTATCAAATAGGAAACGTTTATAAATTTAATGTGTTTCGCTTTTTTTACACTTAATCAGAAAATGAAATACGAAGGGGAAAATAATATTTTGATATTTTAAAATTTATGTTGTTTGTTTTTCATTGGTTATGCAGGCTTGACATAATTGTTTTTCATTGGCTATGCAGGCTTGACATAATTGTTTTTTATTGGTTATGCAGGCCTCACATGTTTGCTTTTCATTGGTTATGCAGGCTTCACATGTATTTGTCTAGTCAAGTAGTGCTCATGTGTATAATTCATGTGTGTCCGTGTACCACAATTTTAGTTGGTCTATGCGGGATTCTATTGATAATGTGTATGCTTGTGTACGTAAATTATGTTCTTTTTCTAATTACGTAGAAAATACTTAAATGGAGTCCTGATAAATATTTTGCCATCCATAAATGCACATAAATGCACGTCATACAGACTTTATTATATCAACAACTTTTATCAAATCATACTCCAAGAATCTAAGATCTGCCTACCTACAACCACAACCGGTGCAACTTAAATTCTTTCACTCTCAATTTGTCCCGTGAATATAAAATTTTCCAATGCCACGTGCTTCATTATGTGCCCTAGAAATTTCAACTTCCTGATGTTACAGATAAGTCTTTGTTATTTCCATTTTCTCGAAAATTTCGTTGTTCGGTCCATGATAGTCTCAGCATCCTTCTGTAGAACCACAGTCTCTTCTTCATCTGTGAGGAGATTGTCTAGTATTCACTGCCATATCGGAGGACTGATATTACATAACAGTTCAGTACTCTTTTCTTTTCTAATGAAGTTTTCCTGTTTCTTAATACTTTGCTTAGCTTTTGGAAGGCAACTTTCGCTATCCTAATGCGCCTTCGGCTAGTTTTAATCCATGACTCTCAAATGAAGAATTTTAAACGGGAAAGTGTTTAACATGCTATCAAACAAGGCCCTTCGACTAATTTGCTGTGCTCTCTTTATCATTTTAGAAAGGCATGAAACTATTTTCCTCTCCTCAGTTATGGGCTAAACAGCATCTTGGACTGGACCATTTAGTCTTGGGTGGCAGCCTTATTGAAGAATAATTGCTCTGAATTCAAAAGGCAACAGGAAATCACTTGATTATCTTTCCACTAAATCACAGCAATTCTCAGATTATAAAGACACGAACTCTGTGTAGAGTCATGGTCATCTACGACCAAAACAGACATGGAGTTTAAAATAAATCTAATTTTTTAAAACCAATTAATGATTATCGAACGTGGCATCATGCATCGATATGTTCGTAACCTGACAACTAAATATTGGCTTAATTTAAATGTGAACTATTTTACTCTATAAGATTACTATCTTTGGACACTTCGACGTGATGCATTGGTTGGATCGCTTAGATTAATTAGCATCCTCACTGGGAGCTCAATACGTTCGACCTTGTGTCACATCTTGCTACTCTTAGTAAATCGCTATAAAATTATTATCCTAACAATGAATTAAGCATTTTGTGTTTCAGAATGAATATTTGTACAAAATACATAAAATTATAGAGGAAGCTCATTAAAAATAATTTAAATTATATATAAAATAACTGTATTCTGTCACTAATGAATTCTTTACCACTAAACAGTCCTTTTCTTCTTGAAAGTGTCAAGCTTTCAATGAGAATTGAACTTGCCAGAGCGGAACTTAAACACGGCCAAGCCATAAGAATAAGATTCCCGTGAAGATTGAATCCACTTCGTTAGGCGATTGTTCGAAGTAACAAGTTGTGTAAACATAACTTTACAGACGGGACTTCAAAGTAACTTTGTTATTTGTTTTTGTTTGCGAAATGAGATGTTTTTTGTCTTGACATTGTTGACGGCAGTTGGATAAATG